ACAACTAGACTGAAGAACAAAAGGACAGCAACTTGTCTGTTCCCCTTCCCCAATTCCCCAGCGCTGTTCCCATCCCCCCAATTCCCCAATAAAAATTAAAAAAATCTTAAAAAAAAAGTGGTAAAAGTGAGTTGGCTAGATGCTGTATTTGGCAGGTAACCTTTGGAGTTGACAGGAAAATAAAAATTAGAAATAAAAAACAGGCACCCCTGCTTGCTGTGCTCTGCCCGCTGCCCCGGTGGAGCGCCAGGCAGCCGGCCGGAGCGCAGGCGGCACACCCGGCCCGGCTCAGGCGGAGGCGGTGCGACTGCTATTCCGATAGCGGAGGGCGCCGCTGAGGCCGGGAGCCGAGGCGCAGTCCAGCCTTGAGTGAGCCCAGCTTCTGCGGATCAGGAGTTGGACCACAGCACCTTCCCTTCCTCCCAACCCTGCCTCCTCTGCAGAATGAAGCTCAATAGAACTTTGTTGTTTTGCCTTTTACTCTGAGGGGAGAGAAGCAGACGATGAGGAGAAAATCATGAATGTCAAAGGAAAAGTGATTCTGTCAATGCTGGTTGCCTCAACTGTAATTGTTGTGTTTTGGGAATATATCAACAGCCCAGAAGGCTCTTTCCTGTGGCTATATCACTCAAAAGGAGAAAAATTGAGATTTAGAGAGGGAAAAGGTTCTTTCACAGACACACAACTAAAACTCAGAACTTGGTGACAACGGCAGTCAGAAGGACTGGTGGTTTCCAAGCTGGTTTAAGAATGGGACCCACAATGACCAAGGGGAAGAGGAAGACATAGACAGAGACCAGAAACAACGAAAGGAGGACAATGAAGAAGAACTTCAGCTATCGGACTGGTTTAATCCATAGAAACGCCCAGAGGTCGTGACAGTGACCGAATGGAAGGCCCCAGTTGTGTGGGAAGGCACTTTCAACAGAGCCATCTTAGAAAATTACTATGGCAAACAGAAAATCACCATGGGTTTGACAGTTTTTGCTATCTGGAGATACACTGAGCATTACTTGGAGGAGTTCTTAACATCTGCTAATAGGCACTCCATGGTTGGCCACAAAGTCATATTCTGCATCATGGTGGACGATGTCTCCAGGTTGCCTTTGGTAGAGCTGGGTCCTCTGCGTTCCTTCAAAGTGTTTGAGGTCCAGCCTGAGAAGAGGTGGCAGGATATCAGCATGATGCGCATGAAGACCATTGGGGAGCACATCGTGACCCACATCCAGCACGAGGTCGACTTCCTCTTCTGCATGGACGTGGACCAGGTCTTCCAGGACACCTTTGGGGTGGAGACGCTGGGCCAGTCGGTGGCTCAGCTGCAGGCCTGGTGGTACAAGGCAGATCCTGACACATTCACCTACGAGAGGCGGAAGGAGTCCGCAGCATACATTCCATTCGGCCAGGGGGATTTTTACTACCATGCAGCCATTTTTGGAGGAACACCCAGTCAGGTCCTAAACATCACCCAGGAGTGCTTCAAGGGAATCCTTCAGGACAAGAAAAATGACATAGAAGCTGAGTGGCATGATGAAAGCCACCTAAACAAGTATTTCCTTCTCAACAAACCCACTAAAATCTTATCCCCAGAATATTGCTGGGATTATCATATAGGCCTGCCTTCAGATATTAAGACGGTCAAGATATCTTGGCAGACAAAAGAATATAATTTGGTGAGAAATAATATCTGACTTTAAATTGTGTCAGTAGGTTTTTGAATTTGAGAGAGTATTATGCTGCGTACTTTCTCAGAAATGTAACACTTAATTTTAACTAAAAAAAAATACTAACAAAACACCACCCCAGCAAGTGTATACTCCTCCTCCTTATAACGTTGAGCCTTATAATATGGGAGAATGAACCTATGGTAATCAGATGTGCATTCCCAGTGATTTTGTGTCTTATTCATGGCTTGGGGGAAATACTATTAGCTAAACCAAAAAGCAAAAAAAAGAGAAAGAAAGAAAACCAGAAACACTCTACATGTGCCAGATAACGTACTGTAGAAAGAGGTGCTAAGGGAAGTGTTTGGCAACAAGATACAATAGTGGGGAGTTCCCCCGGATTTCAGTTTTCTTGTCTTTGCTGAGTCTAGAGCAACACAGAGTTGCTTTGCTGCAAGAACTCTTAGTGAGAACACAGTTTACCTTGACAATCCTCAAATGGCTTTAATAGCGGATTGCTTCAGGCCATTTGTAGTCCATGTCCTTTCCTCTCAGGATGTTGCTGGACTTCTGTGTGAAAGATTGGTGGAGATTCTCAGTGGATATCATGAATGTTTGGAGTCACAGGGAATCTGAATGAGCCAATGCGTGCTCAGGAAGTGAAAACAAAAGCCTCAAAGTGAGTTTGCCATGAAATAGCAAAGAGAGTAGAAGGAGCATGGAGGAGCACAGGATGTGGGTTTGGCGCTGAAATACAGCATGGGTCCAAGCGCTGAATGTGAGGGTACAATGTGGATGGCCTTCAGCCTCCTCTATCCCAGGACAACCAGAGCAGAGGACACTTGAATTGAAGATACTTCTTGTTTTGCCCATGTCACATTCAGCCTGCTAGATTCTGCAACTTGTGTCTTCCAGTGCTGACTAGAGGAAGTGGGTGGTGTCAGAGAAGACAGTCCTGCAGTGGACTGAAGAGGCATTTCCAAGACCCAGGCCTCGTGACAATCAGTTCTCATCAAGGCCCGCTGCCACCTGCTCTAACCCTCAGGATTCCTCAGCCTATCATGCCCCTCTTGGAGGGCTGACATCAAGGGGTGGATTGGAGGAAAGGCCCTCCAAGTAACCTCTCATTTTCCCCTGCCCCATCTGCATCACTGGGGTGCAACAGCCGGACCCATTTAATAAAATGGTTAATTGATTTTATATCAAAAGCAGGGGGTGGCAATGGGAGACCCAGTCCTCGTGACTGCACAGCTGAACATTCGATTCTCTTCTCTAAGAGAAGCTATGAAATCATGCATATTATTTGAAGTTAAGCAATTCGGTGTAAAGGAAGTTAGGAGGCCACATTTACATATATATGCAGGTGTATTTATATTTTGCTTGTGTCTCAGTTTAGGTGATTGGTTTCCATTTTTAAGCGATTTATTTGAAGAACCATTGCACTGGCTTGATGCTCAGCACAGTGGGCTTCTCTGGTCAAATGAAACCTATGTTTTCTTCACCGTTCCATTGTGCCTCCTACTCCTCTTGCCAAAAAATATCACAAACCCAGCCAAACCAAACCAAACCAACAAAAACCTTGAAGAAGTGGACTTGGTAAAGAGAAAGGAGGTCTCGCTTCTCTGTAACTCAAGTTTACTGGGACCCATTCCGGAGTAGGGGAAGTGAATGATTTAAGTCCTAAACCAAAGAAATCATCTCTCCTGAAAGAAATGGGCTGATGTTTGTTTACTTTTGAGAAAACCTTGATTTTAAAAAAAATTCAATTTAAATCCCAAGTGGACAGAGTAAAGATCTCATTAATAGTTATTCTTAAACATTAAAAAAATACCTGATTTACAATTGAATAAATTATTTTCTCAGTAAAAAAAAAAGAAATAAAAAACAGTATTAATGAATTTTCTTTAGCACCCTCTCAATTTTAGTTCATTAAAAAAAATGGGTTGACAGTTTTTATCAACTTATTACCCTTGCAAATTCAGAAATATTTTTACATCTCACAGACAGCATCTCGCACGTGCAGAGCCTTTGGTTCCTCACTCATGATATGGCCTTTTCACTGTGGGGATGGCACACAGCACTGATGTTTTTCTTCTTTTTTTGTCCCAGCCCTGCCACAAACAATTCACACACCTTTGGTCATTTTCTCAGTGAATGACTTACCTCCTGCCTGTGTTGTGAACTCATGGGGGGGCGGTAGTTGTGTCCAGAATTTAGGATCATGTATATTGGATTTTACTTTATTTTTTTAATGGGCCGGGCCAAGGAAGAGAGCAGTTTGGTTCATGTCTTAGCCTCAAGGCTCGCTGGCCAGGCTCAAAGATCAGATCCTAAGAGGGAGTTCAGAGTGCAGAATATTTACTAGGATCAAATACCTAAAGGGAAGGAAGAGGGGGTGGAACTGGGCAGAAGTTGACTGTCATTGGTCACCCCCAATAACTCTGTGGCAAGTGGCTACTGCCACTGTGGCTCACATGGACCCACAGCCAGGCCTCAGTGGCCCTCCTGGCCAGAGCTGCCCATTGGAGGCTGTGTTGACCCACTCCTCTAGACCGCACACCTTCCCCTCTGCCCTCCTGTGCCCTGGGTACCACTAGTCCCATGAGCTGGGAATCAAGGTTGTGTGGAGGCCTGGAAATGCTAGGGACGTGGACAGCGTTCTTTCTGCTTGCTCAGTGTCCAACATTTTCATCTGTATGATGGGGCAGACCAGCTTTAAATTAGTAGTCCATGATCATCATTCTGCAAAGATTTTTCCAGACTTTTTCTTTGCAGACGTGCAGGGACATATCATTTAAATTATATCTGTGAGACTAACTATATTTAGCATTGTGAACAAGCGGTCTACATTTGTGCATGAATTTTGGAGTGAAGCCTCTTACTTCACAAGTGTAATTCCTACACACGTTTGCTTCTAATGTTTGGTCAAAATGGCAGCTTGATTACCACCTGGTAATGCACAATGTCACCCCCACGACTTGTTGGTGCAAACCCTGGTGATGATTTGTCATTAGCAATGGTGAGTAGTGGAGCCTCTGAGAAGGGGGGCTGGGGCTTTGCGGGTAGTGACTAGGGGCAGGGAAGGAATTGCTGGGAACAACAGCAGGAGAGGCAGAGGGTGGCCACTGAGTGCTGAGGTCAGAGGTCACTTGTGGCTTGAGATATGGAAGAGTGGGGCTTGGCTCATTTTGTATTTGGGAAAGGAGAAGGTAACCAACAGGTGCCCAGTCAGGTAAAGTGTGCCACTTCAGCACGACAGAACAGAGAGCAGGTAACACGTAATATGGTGCTTTGACTTGGTGCCCAGCCCTGGGCTGATGCTCAACCGGCACTGTCCGTTTTCCGTCCAGGTGTCCCAGCCCTGATCCTGCCTGCCTGCAGTCCAGGTTGAGTGCTCTGCCATAGTCCCATGGCAGGTGGTGGGAGGCTGGGGTTGGGGGCCAGGATTGTGTGATGCCACCCCACACTAGCCTGTAGCGGGGAGCAGCTCTCCTCCCTTCTCCCCTCTTGTGGTCCTCACAAAACCCAACGCACAGCACCAGGTGGGAATTTCTAAGGACTCTGGCACCCAGACCAAGGAGAGCAGGTTGACAGCAGGTCTTGGACTTGGGGTTCTCAAAATTCATCCTAAACCAGAGCCCCTTACTTTTCCAGTACTGTTGTAATTAGGAATTTAGTATTCACTGTAACATTCTGTGGTTTAAAAGTGAGTTAAAGTAGTCAAGGGAAAAAATTTCCCTAAGTTAGTTATTTTTCAAAATAAAAACTCAGAAGGGAAAGAAGTTAACTTTAAATTTCAACTCTGCCTGATGGAACAAAGTGAAAGAAAGGAAAAGGAAACCCCCTCCAAACTTGTTCATAAATGACATGTTACAGCATTGTCGTTTGGGGGTTACAGGTTTCACTTTCATTTTTGAAGCAACTGGAAGTTGGCTTTCTGGAATTCCAGACTTGAATTTACTAGAGAGTGGGGTCTCCAGGACCTGGGAGACAGCCCAAATGTATGCAGTCAGATTTAACTTTTGGATTGATAGGAACAGTCTGAAAGGGAGGGTGTGTGCGTGTGCGTGTGCGTGTGCGTGTGTGTGTGTGTGTGTGTGTGTGTGTGTGTGTCCCCTCCCATTTTTTTCTCTGCTTACTAAATATAACCAGAGGCATAAAATGCTTCATTCACAGTTTATGTGGGGATGAGAGCATGAGGGCTGGTTTCTTGCAGCTCTCCAGTGTTGGTGGTGTCTTTTATTTCCCCAACTTACTGATGGTAAAAGGGAGGTCAAGAATGCAAAGGCCCGCAGCCCCAGGTCACATATGGGCAATAGGGGGGCAGAGGCTGGCCTGTCTCCAGGACAGGTCCTTTTCCCTTCGTTGTAGCAACACCGCATAAACCTTCATTAGAAAGCTCAGCTAGATTCCATGGTTTGGCCAATAAAGAGTGATTTGGAAAGAGAGGGATACCCACGGACAGGCGCAGAGCAGAGATTCTGCCTGTATCGCTGAAAATGCTGCTGCTGATTAACTGGGGGTCACAGGCCCCCAACTTCTCTTTTCCTTGGAGTCCCCCTTCATGGACCACCCTAGTACTCCAACTGAGTCTCAAAACCTATTGTATTTCTATACGCCACTATGACTGGAGTGAGATCAGTCGGGCTGAGGACCAGCTCTGGCCAGACAGCAACCACTTCTGCTTTTTTCTTATGTCCACTGGACAAAATAACAGAGGTGCTTATCACTGAGTCTTGTTTGGGGCTTGGTGTTAAACACACACCCGGGTGTGCCTTTACTGTTGTAACATGTCAGAAGTGGGTGGTTTTTCTAGTACCACCCTGGAACTCAGTGCATGAATGGACCCAGAGTTGGCATCTGGCTGATTACATATCTGAGTGAGGCATATTTTTTGGTTAATGTGAGTGGAGGCTTGAAAATTCAAAACAAGGTCAATGTAATTTCAGTGGACTTATAATAGTGATAAATTCATCTGTTTTAGTGTCTTGCATAGTATTATATAACACAAAGTTCACAAAGCTGTTTGAATATCTGCGAAGTACAGTGATTTTT